AACACAACCAATGCCTTTTCAAAATGTAACACAACAGAACTGGCAAAGTACAACAGTCACAGCAGCTGCGACGCCCGGCTGGGCAAGACGAGCTTGGCAGCACCTCCTGCAAAACGTGCAGGTCCTAATGCCGCATGGAGGAGCTGACGGAGCAGACTGCCATGATGAATTGTGTGAGCAGGGTCAGGCCTTCGCTTTCCTGCCAGCAGGCTCCCTGGTCACCTCCTCCCACCACCAAGGTAGACTGCCAGGCCCTGACATTCAGCCCTTCCCCTGCACTTTGAGGGGAACACAGGAGTTCAGCAGAGCTTTAGCCATTCTTGTGGGCACTGTGCTTTAAATAAACTAAATCTCTTTTCAGTTAGAGCAGTCTGGAGGCATGTTTTTTATTTTCAGTGGCCTCTGGAGAGAACAGTAACATCAGTCTGTGAAACCACACTTGGTCACAAAAGCTGGCACCAACACCAAAGTTTTCTGAACCCTTACCCCTTACCTTCGTACTTGTTCAGTCCCCTCTTTTCCTTCATGCTGGTACAAAGTAGTTAGAAACCCATGAGCCCCCGCTGCGGGATTGCTTTCCTCAGTCCCAGTCCTGGCTCATGCTGGCTTAAACGTCTGTGCAATTATGGTGTCTGTGAAGTAAGGTCTGCTCTGGTCATGCTCCTCATGCCCTCTCCGAAGTCCCTCCTTTCCTGTGGTCTGGCCCACCTACCCCAAAAGCTAAAGGAATCTAAGGGGTTCAAGTGTTACCAAGCATCAGGTCCTCAACAGATGTCCTAGCGGCTGGACTTATCTCTTGCTAAAACCAAGACATGCAGAGGCTTGGCAAAGGAAAACGTAACAGGGAACGAGGCTCCCATTTTCTGAGTCTTGGCAGGAGGAGTAAAATATTAGTTCAAGTTCAATTTTAGCTTGAGGAGAAGAGTGCCATTTACTGGAGCCAAACGGATCCTTCTCCTTCTCTGCTATACAGCCAAGCTGTTGCCTCTCCATCTCAGTGCTGCTTTGCCAGTGCCAACACAGCGCTGCCTGGGCTGTGAGGGCTGTTCTGCAGTCGGAGCCACCGCTGCCACACGCACACACGCTCTGCATCACAAGCCAGGTGCCATCCAGGATCTGTGCGAACGAACCCTTTACTGCCTCACACAAAGGCAAGCGTCCTACACCTCATCTTGCATCCAGTGCTCTGCAGTCAAGTTCACGCTAGCACCTCTGGAATGGAGAATGACTATTTACAGGTTTTAAGTTTTTAAGCGCATGCCTTAGTGCCGTGCTTGTTCAAACCCATCCATCCCTACAGAGCAACTGCAGCTCTCTCCTGCCAAGATGAATAGGTAAACTTAACTGGACAGTATTTTGCATCCAACTTGCACATTTATGAAAGATTGTGCAACAAGATGGAGGGTCATCGGACCTAAGGGCTTTAAAACGTCCCTGGACGTCTTTATACAAAAACATCTTCATATAAAATCTTTAGCACGGTTCATACGATACAGACTTTGTGCTCTTTGCTAGTGCAAATTAAGCATAATTATTTAACAACTGTCAGTAATGTTCTTTTTAACTAGTAGAATATACCACTGCATCCTGAAAGCTACTTAGCACAATCAAGGTTAAAATGCAGATTATCTGTAAGACTTTCATTCTATTTGCTGTCAAATAAGTAGTCCTAAATCTAGGACTGGCAAATTCGAGATTGGCTGGAATAGGAACCTTCACATCACCATCAGAACTGTGGAAACTCATTCTAAATTATCTCACCTAGGTCTAATCCCATCAGTAAGAAAAATACAATGGGACGGCTATCACTCAGCAGGAGAAGCAGAAAGGGGGCAGTTTCTTCAAACAGTAACAACACGAGTTGAGTAAAGGTGTTACATTTCCAAAAACACACACAACTGTCCAAACCAGCTAGGACAAGAACGTCTTGTCTCAAAGAGTCACAGTAAAACCAAATCAACCCAGGCTCTGTCCTGAGACCTCCAGGTCCTCCTGTGACAGGAATGCAGACAGAGCAATCACTGTCTGTAGTAACGCAGGCGCTGCCATGTTATGAGTCCGAACGGGGAAGATGCACCCAAACTGAATAACTATAACACGCTGACTTCACTACTTTTTTCCCAAATTTCAGACAAATCAGGAAAATTCTAAGTCCATGGCCGCAGCTATCAGCTTCCCCCCTAAAGGATAAGCAAGACGACCTGGTATATAAAGGACTATTCCCTATTATCATGATGCACTAACAGTAACAACAGTACCTTGGAACCCCAACGATCAGGGCTCCACCATGCATAAGACAAGCAAGAGGTGCCAAACCTTATACATCAGGTTCAGCATCAGTACTCCTACTCCTGGCTTGCAGATGCCTTTGCAGCTTTGACTTTGCTGCTGAGCAACAGATTTAAAGGTCACAAAGAGTTACTGGAGGTCAGAGAGGCTAACTGCAAGGGATTACTTGTTCCGAGCTGCTGTGAGTAATTCGCAGTGCTTGAAGGTACCTTTGTTCACGAGGGATGCAGAATTCCAGGATACCTGCATAGCTTCACAGGGTTGTCCTGACGGAACAGCTTCATTTAGGCCAAAATTCAAGGGTCTTACCCTCTTTGTGAGGAGGGCAGAGGGAGGGTGGATACAGTTATCACACAGAAGAGAGATCTTTCCCAGGGAAACCAGCTGCAGAACGTCTTATCAGGTTTCCTCACCCAGCATTTCAGTGTGTTGGGCCTAAATCACCCCATTCACCCACACCTCCTATAGCACAGCTTGCACCAGAAACATCCAGGCTCCAGGGACAACAATTCAGTCAGTCATAAGAGAAGCTGCCTCCAACCCACCCGGCCCTACCTGAGGGAACTCAGCGAAGAGCGCCTGTCGCAGAAAGCAAGCATTGTACCTGGGCGCCCATGACCTGCAACCGTTTCACTAGGTGCAGTGCAAAAAACACATCCAAGGCAGGATCAAGCCTTAAGTGTTAAGAGCGCCTTCATCCAGCGTCTATTGTATTAGCAGCTCCTGCTAAGTGGTTCGTTACAGGGCTCTGTACCTGCTCCGGGAGCAGGGTGCCAGACACCCCTCGCTCATTCACTGACTTTTAAGGGGAAGCATTCAGCTGGTGCACAGAACAGAAGCCAGATGAACAGCTCTGGATCTCCGGGTGAAGTCCTGGGACGAGAGTGTCTGCCACTTTCCTTCTGAAAAGACTGGGGATAAAAATTTGTCTTTGTCCACTAACTGCAGAGTACAAGGCAGTTAAGTGATTATTTATTATCATTCCTCTAGCTGGCAACCAGGCCCAGAAACAATGGGCGCACAAATGAAAACAGAGCCACAGAAACGGTTTGCTTGTGTTTCAAGTGAAAACAAACATTTGGAGACTTGGATGGCAAAACCGGACTGATGCACTCAGTGTAAACACAGGCCTGGGCAGTGAGAGAGCAGCAGACCTCTAGGCACTCTGGGATCTCACAACTAATTAAAGTGGGTAGGAATTTGTCTCAGCACGTTCTGAGAGATTTACTTCTCCAATGTGACTAAACTACCATGCACTATCTAACTCTCCTACTTACCAGAAGGGGTAATTTTGCTGCCAGCTAACTATGTTCATGCAGTTGAGGTGGGCTAATTAAATACAGCTCGATGCTTAGGGGCAATCCCATTTGTCAGCCTACCTGCACCTTCCCAACCCCAATCAGCCTTGCTAACAAGAAGACAAACAAGAGAGAATTTTAATTGCAAAGGAGTATTTAAAAATTCTGACAAAATCCAGGGACCAGACCAGAATGATGGGTTCTTGTGGTTTTCTGTATCATCGTTTTCCAGCACTGCAGATTAGGTTCTTCTCTTGCAAACAAACAAAACTTAAACACGTTCTTAACACTCACAGGACCTCAAGGCTCCATCCTCCTCTGGGTGCTGTCCTTAAAAGCAGGAAAGTTGTGGCATTGACTTTTCTTGTGCTAGCGCTGCCAATGTCAAGATGAAATGCTCCGTAAGTGGCTCGTTACAACAAACTCTTTTCTTTGTCTTAGGTTCCAGCTGAAGAAAAGGAAGTCGTTCTGGCACGTGCTGCACACCTATATCACAAAAAAGATGTTTCACAGAGGGTACAACTGAATTACAATAGAAGTTGGAATTTCTGAACTATCCTATGCACCCTGCAGCTCTCCTTGGGGAAGGGCAGAGGAGCTTAGAGGCCTCAATCTACATTTCATTTTCCACTTGTTCCTCTGGGCTGAAAATGCTTTTCTCCTTACTTTTCTGGTCCCTCTAAATTCACAAGCCAGGCTCAACCCGCTCAACAGCTAGCTCAGTTTTTGTAGCTATACTGGTTTTGGCTCATTTGTCAAAGCACCAGAAGGGCGCAGGAGGCTCTCCCCTGGGGCGCAGGTAAGAAACCCGCCACCTTGTGCTGCTGGGCTCCTTGGCGCTTTCTGGGGCTGGCTGCACCCTGGCAGCTTCCTAAGGCCCATTTCTGAGCACCTGGGAACCTCCACCTACCCCTGCTTCCCCTTGCATACCTCTCGCATCCGACTGGTACCAGCTCTGCAGCCACGGGAGCACATCACTGCTCCCGCCCGGGGGCAGGATTTCCGCTTCACCCGCTTGCAGCCCCATTGCAAGATGGGGAGAGGGGCAGAGCGGGTGCTCTGAGCTTTTCAGCACTTAGCCAAACTGATCCAAGAGCATCTAAAGCCCTTTCTGCCCCATCACAGACAGCTCCAGCTTCTAAACGCCTCCAGGAAGCGTAGGAGGCCTAAGACCTCACAGGCTGGATTGATGCTTTTGCTGATATAGTTTATATCAGTTCAATGGCACCCATCCACAAGACTCTTACAGCCAGCCAGACACCATCTCCGGAACAGGGAGCATCCCAGAGGACTGGCTGAAACTGTTCATCTGGAGACAGATTCAATTTTTCAAGGGAAATCTTGTTCACTTTCAAAATGAGGAAGGTTTTACTGAAACACTCCCCCAGCCAAGTGCACCAGTGGTACCAAATGTATCACTGAAAGAAGAGTATTTGCTATGTCAAAATGGAGCTGTGGTTTTTCAAAGCCAGCAGGGAGAAAACACTGTAAATACAGAGAGGAAATGCATGCATGGCTTATTAATAGACCCTTGCTGCAAGACTTTAGGCTTTATGACAAGGCTTCCACTGTACTCCCCATGTCCTCTCATGCCCCTGTTACCCTACTGAGCACTGACTGCTTTAATCCTGGTGGCACATCCATGAGACCTGCCAACTTACAGGCGGGAGCCGAGGCACAGAAGGTGGGTTATTCCAGCCTACGCTAGTGCCTTAGCCACCAGCCCATCCACCTGCGACCGGAGCTGGTGGGGAACAGTGGTCACGCAGAAAGAGCTCATGCCCCTGTCGCTAGTGAGATACCCTCCCTGCTGGGTCCTATAAAAGCTTCCAGTTAGGGGTTTTTATGGTGACAACAGAGCCCAAGGTAGGCAAGCAGGGATGCCAGTCAGAGTCTTTCCCAGATAACCTGAATTGTGGGGGTTTAACAACACCTGCATTGCAAGATGAGGAGTCAATTTTGTTGACTTCTCACCCCAGGACAACCAGTCAATCCCCAAAAGGCTGCTCAAAGTGCTTGTTCTCTAATTCCCCCTCCTGTGCTGCTGCACAGTGCTGCTGTCAAGACAGCTCCTGAGTTTTCCATCAAAAGCAACTCCCTGTTATTTTAGGCTGTCATGCTTCACATAAAACTGGATTCCAGTCCATGAACTGGACCAGATTTTACACATTTCTACATGGCAAAGCCTTGCCAGCATAGGGTGTCTATATCCTTTGACTTCTTTCCTGTGAAAGCCGTAACAGAAAATTAACACCCTAGTGTTTAAGTGCAGCGACAGTAATCAGCACACACTCTGTCACACAATAGGCTTCTCAGCACATTTACAAAAGTTGTAGGATTTTTCCTGATACAGGCTTTTCTATCAAATGGTATATCAGACAAATGGGCTAGTTTTGGAAAGGGGTTAGCTTTTCATCTAAGGACGGAGGAAAAATAACCTTCAGACACCCCTCCTCCTGCAAGTGAGGACAGGGAGAGCTGGCCCATGTGCAGTAAAGGAGAAATCCTGGTAGCCTCTCAGAATACGTTCAACCTCATTATCCATTTCAGCATTTTCCCTTCCAGTCTACAGATCATTTAGGGCCCCGAAGATGCACAGACTCATGTTAGAAATGGTTATTTTTGTTGTTGCTGTTCTTATTATTTTTAGGAAACATTAATGAAACAGTTGCTGTCAGTGCTTGGAGGTAGATGACTTAGATGAGATGAGCTACAAAATCTGGGAGATGGGAACCTCAAGGCAGCCAGCCAAACAGGGCTGGGATGCGGCCCTGCTTCCCTGTCGTGTTTACATCTGTGCCCTGAGCAGGGCCATGAATGAATCGCAGCAGTGTGCTCCAGCAGGCTTGGAGCTTGCAAAGAGTTGGCATGCTCCCCGCTCTGGCTGGCCATCCCGACCCCTCCCCAAGGGGTTAAGATCGGTTGTGTCATGAGACGGTCAGCCAATCTAAACAGACCTGGGCTGAAAGAGACCTTTGAGCCTCCAGTGATGCTGGCTGGTGTCCTCGCCTAAGATGCCAAGGCCGAAGTGATGGACAGCTCTAGGCTGCCTCTCCCTTTTGGTTCATCGAGACATGGGACAGAAGGCAAACTGCATTTCTGCCTCAGAATTTGTTTTGTGGCTTTACATGGAATTCTCCCCTCTCCCCTTCTTTCTTCAGTATTGCATTTCTTTAAAGGATCTGTTTTTTCCCCTCCGAGTGCCTGAAGCTGAATTCTCCCTTGTGGGGCCAACTCTGCCCCATCCCTAAGGGGAATTTAAATTAAAGGTGAAATCTGTGGTCCCAGGACTCTCCCTACCGCTCCTGACTGCACGTGGGACAAGGCCAGTGGAAGGCACTATCCGTACCTGTACATCAGTTTCCTTTGCCTCCATAGGATGGCAGCTCCAGAGCCACCTTGCCCCTAGACTCTCAACTGCTCATGCTCCTCAGCCTCTCACACTGCTCTTCTCCTTGTGTTTGGAGCAAGTGTGGCGAAGCAAAAGCAGAGAGTTTGGAGAGATCAGTTCTGATCTGCACTCTGTAAGGCTGATTTTTTGTACAGGGAGTAGAACGAGCCCAAGAGCCCATGCAGACAACCACCAAGAGAGCGTCTGAGCTGCCAAGCTCTGACTCGAAGCCCCGAGTCCTACACAGGCCTCCCTGTGCCGAGCCCTCCAGCTGCTGGGATCCCCTGCAGGCACCCTGGCCTGTCTCCGTAGGCAAAACTGGGAGCAGAGGGGTAACAAAGACATTCCTCTCTTTTTTCCAAGGGACTTGGGTTAACCCTCAAACCGGAAGGAGGAAAGTTGCCGAAGGTGTACCAGCCCTTAGCACGTCCGTCCTCGTGCAGCATAGGCTAACGGACTCACTGGCACAGCAGCGTGGGATGCTTGGGGCTGGGACAGCAGCAGCGACTGCAGGCACGTTATGTAGCCTGTTTTAGGACGTTTCCCCCTGCCTGACCGACACCACAAATGCCTTGCTTCTAAAAAAACAACAAAACAAACCCCCCCCAGGCCAAGAAGCGGGGAGCTCAGAACGGCATCCAAGAGCTACTGGCAGCACGAACCAACTAGCTCACTGGACATAGCTGGGGCAGCACGGCCCATCCAAAGCCCTCACCTGCGATGCTGTGCTGTGGTATACTCAGCACGATGACAAACTGTTGTCCTTGGCGCAGTGAGGAGGAAAATGGAAGAAAGTCGCTGAGCTGGGAGCTGCTGAAAAGGCGAAGGTGAGGAGGCAGCAAAACTTGTACTGTTCACTGGTGTCTACAGGATGCAGAGAGGAATATCCTGGAAGTGAGAGAAAATGAATTACCCCAGACTGAACAAAACCATTGCAAAATACATTCCTCTGACATGTTCTCAGGAGG